AGCAGGAATTATTATTAAAAACATGCTTAGGACACCACAGTATTAAAGCACCATTATTATTAATAAATGTGAGTTTCATACTCACATTTAGTGGGTGATATTGAACACTATCAGTGCTCAATAACATTACTCAATTAAACTTGAAATCACCATTCACCACCAACAATACCAGTTCCAATGTGAAGAACTTTGTCATGTTTTGGGAAATTACAACACCAATAGCTATTCAACACACCGTTTGCATTAAGGTGCCGTCGTTTTCAGGCTTTCAATTTGATTATCCTAACATGTCACCTACGTAGGCTCTGATGGAGTTGAAATCCATGGGTCTCATGGCTACCTCATTGACCAATTTCTGAAAGATCAAGTGAATGATCGAACTGATAAATATGGTGGATCCTTAGAGAACCATTATCGTTGCGCTCTTGAAGTCGTTGAAGCTATTACTGATGAGATAGGGGCGAATAGAGTTGGAATTAGACTATCTCCATTTGCCCACTTCATGGAATGAGGGGACTCCAACCCTGAAGCCTTGGGGCTTTACATGGCAAAATCCTTGAACAAGTACGGGATTCTGTACTGCCATATGATACTCAATTTTAGGTGTGAGAGCTTAAGAGTCCGTTTGATTGGAGGATTTGTTCTCTGACTTGAATCATGATTTATGGTTCTCTACAGCATTTTTTCTCACAAAAAATACACGTAAATAAAAAATAATTCTAATCTCATGGTTCTAATCCATGAACCAAACGGGCCTTTATACTAGCACTATAGCAAGTGTAGGAACCTGAATGTTTTCCTAATGTTGTATCGTGTATGTAACAACCCTTTTTACTGTAGCTTTTAAATTATATTTATCATTATTTTCATTGTGTTGCTACTTCATCTTTTCGGCTTGAGCCTAAATTCTAATGGTGTCAAAATCAGGCACGACCCTGCAACGTAGAGGAGGGTTGTGCTAGGCCATGGCCCTATATTGTAACGGATCATGTGTAGTACGATACTTGTTTATGTCATAAATAGAATTAGACACCGACAATATAACAAAGTGTTCTTTTTTCACGCCACTAGTCAAACTGCGGTCTCCACACGTGTGACATTTTTTGAAACAATAATTATATAAATGGTTTAAGAAAAAAAAGAAAGAAGGAAAAAGGAAAAAAAGAACAAAGACAAGAAAGAAAAAACAAAGAGGAAGAAAAAAAAAACAAAAACAAAAAAGGGTGGGAGAGAAATTTTTTTAAAAAAAGGAAAAAGTTTAAAAAGGGTACAAAGAAAAGAAAAGATTTTATAAAAAGATTTTTGTTGGGCTTGTGTTATGTTACACCACGGTCGAAGGATCGGTCACGCCCTCGACGTTAGGCGCCGAGGAATCCCCGTCCAGCTCGGCCGCCGGTGTCAGAGGAGTGGTAGCAGCTAAGGTTCCCTCTGCGCCGAGAGACGCCACACGGAGAAAGGCACCGAGGAATGACGCTCGACCCTCGACATCCACGGCGTCGAGGAATGCAGTCTAATCAATCCCATCGGTTGTCCTGTTAACTCGGGGAAAGAAGCATCAATCCAACGGTCGCTGCAGGAGTCAGTAGATCGTGCGGCATATAAGGGGGGTCAGCCACATTTCCTGAGATTTTTCATTATTAAAACCCACCTACCCTCCCGATTATTGAGGAAGGGAGATGGCTTCCTCCTTAGGAACGGAGAAGGCTTGGGGATTTTGTAATCATTTATAAATAAGGGAAAAATGACCTAAAAAGGGGTTAGACACCATTTCATTACTAAGAAAAGGGAGCTTGTAACCGGCTGAAATATTAGTGCATGCACAAGTGGATTAGGCAAAGAATTATTGCCGAACCACTATAAAATTGTTGTCTCCTTTATATTATTTTTCAATTTTTATCTTTGATTGAACCGTTAGTGTTTTTGGGAGAGGTAATTACGAGTTGTCGGAAAAACACCGTGAACAATTGGCGCTAGAAGGAGGGCCTGGTTAAGCCCGGAAATCTAATCCAGTTCTCAACAAAAAGCAATAGTCATGCCTCCCAGGAACGCTCGCCTGATGGCGGTCGACCCAAGGAGCCAGGCAACCCAGGATCCCACCACCGCGGGGACCTCGGCGAACCTACCCCCACAAACCGCTACGAATCAACCAGACCGCCTCGACCAGCTCCAAAAGCAGGTCGAAACGCTGGCCGCGGCTGTGGAAAGGATGGCTACGGCCCTGGCCGGGCGGGATCAAGGCCAGAACTCTATGCCGCCACTGGAGGACGCGCCGATGAACCCGGTGAACGCCGTCGCTGGGGACCAAGCGATTGGTGACCAACGCGGTGACACCGAGGAGATCGGTGACAGCCGAGCCAACGATCCCCGCCCGGCCAAGTCAAACAGGTCGGTGGGAGCAGGCAGAGGACGGCGCAGAGGAGAGCGCGGGAGGAGGCTGCGGCGCAGGCCGTGAATAACAGGAACGCGCCCCCTCAACCGCAACCCGACACGAATAGAAGGAACGCTATCCCCGTGGGGTCTTCGTCTATATACGGCGGAGACTTCAGGATGAGACTCGACGCGGGAAAGCCATGCAGCTGATGAGGGACGAAGAGCTCGCAGCGGATAACAAGGCCCTGGCTGAGAAGATGGCAAGGCTCGAAAAGCAGATCGGGAGTCGATTAAACAACTTCGAGCAAGTTGTAGGGAAGGTAGCCGAGGCGGTCAATGTCGACGCCAAGATGTACACGTCACACGACCACTTTCACCGAGAATATTATTCGGGTGCCGCTCCCAGACAAATACAAATCACCACCCATTCCACTATACGACGGAAGGAGCGATCCGGACGACCACTTGGAGGTGTACACAGGACACATGGTCCTGCATGGATACCCCGAGGAGGTTATGTGCCGGGCATTTAGGAATCACCTTTCCAATTCCGCGAAGAGATGGTTCAGATCCCTGAAGCCAAATTCCATCGCCAGCTGGGATGATCTGAAGAACGCCTTTTTGACTCAGTTCATAGGTGTCAAGAAATACATCCCGCCAAAACAAAACCTCTCGAGGGTATACCAGGGACCTAATGAGTCCCTGAAGGACTGGACAGCCCGGTTCGGGGAACAAGTCACCGCCACTGAGGGGATCTCCGACGAGGTGGCCTTGATGGGAGCGCTGTCGAGCATGAAAAAGGACATCCCCTATAGCACAGACCTCGACCGGAGACCGGCCCACACCTACCAAGAGTTCCTGACGAGGGCGCATGGGTTCATCAACGCCGAGGAGGCCAAGAAGGCCTTGAAGAGCAAGGCGGCGACCCCTGCCAAGGAAGGGGTGGGACAGACAAGCAGTCAGAACAACGGCAAGAAGTGCCGAGGTCTTCCTCAAGTGCAAGCCGAGCAAAGGTACAACCCGGCTTTGAGTAATAGGGGCGGCAACACCTCGACGAGCCAGGGGGAAAATAAGCGGCTAAAGCCGCAGAGATATGACGCCTATATGCCCTTAATTATGGGAATCGAAGACGTCTACCACGAGATTAGCCACCTCCAGGTCCTGCGTCGACCACCGCTGCTAAAGTCCGACCCAACACGGAGGAATCAAAACAAGTACTGTCAGTTTCACGGTGATAGTGGGCACACCACAGCTGAATGCTACAACCTGAAGGACGAGGTCGAGAGGTTGATCCGGGAGGGGAGGCTCAGTGAGTACCGGGCCGACCGACGAAACAACAATAGGCGCAATAACGACCGACGGGAAGACCCGAGACATGACAACCCAGCCGAACCGGTCGGCGTCATCAGAACGATCTTTGGAGGACCTTACCTCGGAGGCTCATCCCGACGTGCACAGAAGGAGTACGCGCGGGAGGCAAAAGAAAAGTTCAGCTAGAGGATGATGAACGTCTCTGGACGCGAGGCTAAGGCAGCGCGATACGAGGAGGCCGAAATCACTTTCTCAGAAGCCGATGCGAGGGGAGTACATTTCCCCCAAAGCGACGCTTTGGTCGTTGAGGCCATGATTGGTAACCATACGGTTTACCGTATCCTGATCGACAACGGTAGCTCCGTGGACATGTTGTATTCGGACTGCCTTGATAAGATGGGCATCCCCCGCGCAAAGCTGTAAAACAGTGCGCAGCCCTTGTACGGTTTCACAGGGGACAACATCATCTCGGAAGGGGCAATAGAGCTGCCCATAACCATTGGAGACCGACCACACACCTCGACGGTCATGTTGAAGTTCCTGGTGGTGAAGGGAGGCGATTAATACAATGCAATCATCGGACGCCCGATGCTGAGGGCCCTGAGGGCAGTCACATCCATCTATCACCAGGCGATGAAGTTCCCGACGCCCAGTGGGATCGGCAAGGCCCGGGGAAACCAGTATGATTCAAGGCTCACATACTCAGAGACAATCCGCCACTACACTGAGTCGACACAGGTACGCAGGGAACTAAGAATGGTCGAGGCCAGGGCGGAACACTGTGATTTGGATCCAAGGTTCCTAGGAGACGAGGCCGAGACTGGACCGGTCGAGGAATTGGTTGAGGTCCCCATCGATGAAAGAGAACCAATGAGGACACTAAGGGTGGGCTCAGAGCTGGGGACACAGGCCCGCGAGAAACTAGTCGAGTTCCTTAGAACAAGCCTCGACGTATTCGCCTGGACCCACGAAGACATGGAAGGGAGAAGTCCCGACATCATGTGTCACAGGCTGAACATTGACGAGAAGTATCCGCCTAAAAGGCAGAAACGACGACCCATGAACGCCGAACGATACGAGGCACTGCGGGACGAGGTCGACAAGCTGATAAGGAACGACTTCATCCGAGAGGTCCTGTACCCCAGGTGGGTCTCGAACCCTGTATTGGTAAAAAAGCTGAACGGGGACTGGAGGACATGCGACGACTTCAATGACCTGAACAAAGTGTGTCCCAAGGACAGCTTCCCGCTTCCCCGAATCGATCAGCTGGTCGAGGCTACGGCGGGACACGACCTGCTGAGCTTCATGGACACGTACTCAGGTTACAACCAGATACCAATGCTCGACCGCGACCAAGAGCACACGGCGTTCGTTACTGACAGAGGCCTCTACTGCTACAAGGTGATGCCCTTCGGTCTCAAAAACGCTGGGGCAACCTATCAACGCCTCGTCAACAAGATGTCCGCGGGGCAAATAGGAAAGTCAATGAACGTCTATGTGGACGACATACTGTTAAAGAGCAAGAAGATCGAGGACCATGTGGAGGACCTTAGGAGGATGTTTGGCGTACTCAGAGCATACAAAATGAAGCTAAACCCCCGTAAGTGTGCCTTCGGCGTAGCCTCTGGGAAATTCTTGGGTTTCATGGTGAATAGTCGAGGAATCGAGGCAAATCCAGAAAAGATTCATGCCCTTCTCGACATGGAATCGCCAAGGAAGCCCAATGAGGTCCAGAAGCTGACAGGCTGTGTGGCCGCGCTAAACCGGTTTATTTCAAAATCTACGGATAAGTGCGTATCATTTTTTGACACCCTGAGGGGCAGCAAGCCATTCGTGTGGACGGAAGAGTGCGAACAGGCGTTCCAACAACTGAAAGAACACCTCGGGAAACCCCATCTGCTGTCCAAGCCAGCGACTGGAGAGGTGCTGAGCCTTTACCTAGCGGTCTCGGAACACACCGTTAGCTCGGTGTTGATCCGCGAAGAGAAGAAGGTGCAGATGTCGGTGTATTACACTAGCAAGCGCCTCCTCGATGCGGAGACGAGGTATCCCCAGATGGAAAAGCTCGCCCTCGTGATGATCGTGACGGCGAGGAAGTTGCGGCACTACTTCCAGGCCCATAGCATTCAGGTCTTGACCAACCACCCACTCAGGCAGGTGCTACAAAAACCCGACACCTCCGGTCGGCTCTTGAAATGGTCCATAGAGCTCAGCCAGTTTGACATCAACTACAAACCGTGGAATGCCATCAAGGGCCAAGCCCTGGCGGACTTTGTGGCAGAGTTCACAGGGTTACTGGACGACGCCGAGGAAGTGAACGAGACGCTGCGGTGGAAGCTCTACGTTGATGGGAGCTCCAACGACAACGGCAGCGGGGCAGAGCTAGTATTACATACACCTGAGGGACACAAGATCACCTCCGCCATCAGGTTTGACTTCCCTGCCTCCAATAACAAAGTCGAGTACGAGGCATTGCTGGCTGGACTCCAGTTGGCGGAGCACCTAAAAGCGGGAAACCTGGACATCTTCAGTGACTCACAACTCATTGTGAATCAAGTGAAAGGCCAATATCAGACCCGGGATGAGAAGATGGCCGCGTACTTGAAGAAGGTCAAGGAAGCCCTGGGAAGGCTCTCAGCCTATGATATACAACAAGTGCCGAGAGCAGAGAATAGCAACGCCGACGCTCTCGCCAAGTTGGCGACGTCGAGAGATGCCGAGCTCCTAAATCTGGTTCCCGTGGAGGTCTTGAAAGCCCCAACCACGGAAAGGAGGCCCGAGGTCACGCCGGTGGACTACCAACTAGGTTGGATGGACCCAATTACCAGGTACTTAGCCCACGGCGAACTCCCAGAGGACAGGAAGGAAGCAAAAAGGGTGAGGTATCAAGCAGCAAGGTACACGATGCACGACAACATCCTATATCGAAAGGGCTACTCGACGGCCTTGCTCCGATGCCTCGGCGCGGAAGAGGCGAAGAAAGTGTTATACAAAGTGCACGACGGGATATGCGGGAACCATGCGGGGCGACAGTCCCTAGCTTACAAAATACTTTGGCAGGGGTATTACTGGCCGAGTCTCAAGAAAGACGCAGCCGAATACGCGAAGAAGTGTGAGAGCTGCCAAAGGTACGCTCCCACCCCTCGACTGCACTCAGAAGACCTGACATCTATAGTGTCTCCCTAGCCCTTCGCCAAGTAGGGAATTGACCTTATTGGTACCCTACACAAAACCCCAGGGGGGTACAAGTTCGCTATTGTCGCCGTCGACTACTTCACAAAGTGGGTAGAGGCTGAGCCATTAACGACCATTTCAGAAGAGAAGTGTACGAACTTTATATGGAACAACATAGTTTGCAGGTTTGGTGTGCCGCATTCTCTCGTGTCTGTCAATGGGAAGCAATTCAACAACGACAACACCTGTCAATTTTGTGAACTACTGGAGATCCACAAGAATTTCTCCTCCGTCGTATACCCCCAGTCCAATGGGCAAGTTGAGGCAGTCAACAAGATAATTAAAGTCACGCTCAAATGACGCCTCGACGCCCATAAAGGGAAATGGGCAGACGAGTTACCGAAGGTGCTGTGGGCCTATAGAACAACGAGTATAACTACTACGGGAGAAGCGCCCTTCTCGATGGCATATGGGGTCGAGGCAGTACTTCCAGTCGAGGTGTCTATCTCAACCAACCGGGTAACTCGGTATGAGGAGGGGAGGAACGCCGAGCTGATGGGCTTGGAGCTTGACCTCCTGGAGGAACGGCGCACAGACGCAGAGCTAAGGCTCACCGCTTACCGGGTAAGAACTGTTAGATATTATAACAAGAAGGTCAGGTAAAATCGCTTCGTGGTCGGTGACCTGGTCCTAAGGGTAGTAACCCCCAACACCAAACCCAGGAACTCCGGAACCTTAGGCCCAACCTGGGAAGGGCCCTACAGAATAAGAGAAATTGTGGCTAACGGGTCCTATCGGCTGGCGGAGCTCGATGGTCAAGACATCAAGCATACTTAGAATGCAAACCAGTTAAAGGTCTACAACCAGTAATCTGGGGTACGTCGACCGAGCAGAGCAGACCTAATGTCTCGATTTCTTATTCTGTCTCATTTCTTCCTTATGGTAGGCTGGAAAGCCACTTGTAAATTCTACATGAATAAAAAGTAACACGCGCGTTTAGCCAACGAATCCCACCTCACGACTGTCTACTATTCCTGTCGATACGTCGATCGGACTAGTCCGTCGATACGTCGATGACGAGGGGACAATACGGCCCCCATAAACTTACGAGGGAAGTAGGGCTCCGCCTCGACCATACCCGAACAAATGAACAAAGTTTCTACGTCCAAACATTTTACTACCCATGTCGACGTTTCTACAATGAACGGCCAACGCCGAGTTATGAAACTCAGCTTGGGCGAGGGGTACTAAGGCCCGACATGAGGCCCCCCACCAAAAAAAAAAAAAAAAACTCAACTCACGAGATGTAGTCGAGCCTACACTTAGCAAGAGATTCTCCACACAACAGAATGAACAAAGCGTGAATGTATATAAAAAAAAATAGAGAAGAAACACAAACGAAAATAATTGTCTCGACCTTATGGTCGTTACAAACCACTAAATAAATATTGTCTGGGCCTTATGGCCCCACAAAAGAAAAAGAGAAATTAAAATCTACTGCGCGCCCTCGTCCCCGCCGGCGTGCTCCTTGCCCCCAGCTCCGACTCACCGCTAGCCCCCGGTGCCCGCTCCGAGTCCTCGCCCACTGGCCCAGCCTGAATCCGTATCTGCTCGACCTCCCCTACCGGTTGGTCCAGGTCGACAATCTCCACTTCCTCGCTGTCAGACTCGTCGAGGAAAGCAAGGTTGACATCTGGACGCTTCTTCCGGAAGCGGTCGAGGATTTGCTCCCCAGCGGACTTCATGAGGGACAACTAGAGTTTCTCAAACTCGGCAGAGTCCTGATAGGCGTCGAGCCTCTGGGTTATGAGCTCCTCAAAGGCCTCAGAGGACTTGAATCGCTCCAACTGCCCTTTGCACCGCTCCAACTGCCCCTCAATGATCTCCTGGAGCTCCCTGGACGCCTTGAATGACTTCAGCTTGGCATCTACCAAACGGCCAAGCTCCTCGGAAGCCATGAAGTCCCGGACCGCTTGTGAAGCCACATCCCTCTGCTGCTGTTGGAACTCGGCGGACAAGCGGTATTCCTCGACGGCCTTGGATCTCCCCGACTGCTCGCCCTCTCGGAAGCTGGTGGCCTTCTCGGTGGCGAGGCTCTCTTTGAGAGATTCCACCTTGGCCTTCTCGACCTCAAGGTTCAAGGAAGACTCTTCCCGGGTGGCACGAAGCGTCTTGAGCTCTTGCTCGGTGTCTTTCGAGAACGTCCCCTTCTGGATCAGGTCCTCTAACTCTACATAGTCCTGGAGAGCGAGCTCAAGGGCCTGCGTACCAAGGGAGGGAGATGGGACGAGATTAGAACGTGGAGACGAAATCCCAAGCAAGGAAAGGCAAATGGGGAGGGGTATACCGAAAGTTGGCGCGTTATGGTAAGACGCTGGCGCTCCAGGATGCTCCTCCTGGCGAAGGAATCCCAGGAATCGGCATGGAAGGGCGGGTAAAAGG